ATATGCAAATAAAATCTTTGAATTTTGTGCATAAAAATAATAAGTTCTAAAACTTTAAGTAAGCTTTCAGATAGATATTTATAAATGAAACATTGTGTTTTCATTATAAACAAACATTATGTTCATTCATCAAGAACTGTTCATTCAATTATCGTTCATTCTTTTAATGTCGCATCCCTAAATTTGTGTTGGTGTACGCTCGAACAATTGCATAGTTACATAAAAATTGTTAGCATGTGTGCGTTTTTTTGTTTGTGTGACGTAATTTTTGAAGTGTGCGTTTATAGCAACAACACTGTCGTGTTTGTGGGAGTATTGCATATTTTCATTAGTGTGCTATACGTGTGTACCTCGTCCCGCACCAAAAATGGTGAAAAATTTTGTTCGGCGAGTGAACGCTATGGCGCCTCCTGGTATAAATGCTCTAAGTTTTCATTCCTCGTTAAGCATGACAAGGACAAACTGTTGTCAAGTGAAGGGCTGGCATAAACTCGATACTCTGTGGTTGTGGTGCAGGCAGTTTGGCATTCGTAGTAATCATTATGTGACATTCGTGCATTCTCGTCAAAGAGTACTTTTCTTATACGAAAAATTCTCGTTCGGTGTGTGTATTTTATTTGCGATTGTTTTTCCTTTAATTTAACTATTACAATTTAGGCATCTAATATGCCATCGATGTTACCAAAGAGCAGAGACCTTATTACCAAGTGCTAGTGAACCTGTGCCACACCATCCTGAGAGGATCATTGCCAAATTATTCAAGAGCACCTGATACACATTCACGCTGCATATTTACACAATATACATGTGTTAAACAAATAAATACAACATGATAAAATTATATGAAAAATAGTCAATAAATAATACGAAGCAAAACTATTGTTTTTATTTTATTCATGATTCCTACCTAACCAAGTTTTTCCTAATAGTTATTCTTTAAAATCGCACCGAATAAAATGAATTAGTTGTAATATTAATTCACTTCATACTGAGTTCATACTAAATTCATAGGTTGACCCTATGTTTCATTGAATATTAAATATAACCTTAAAAAAAATTTAGTTTTCCTAATAATTTAAGTTCTCAGAAGTGTCAGTCAATAATCTTTGTTTTTACAGTCATTTACTTGCAATTTCGAACCTAAAAAATAATATTTCATGATTGTTGGTTCTTAGGCTAACTATGTATGGACACAGAACAATGGGTGCATTTGCTCTATGAATAAAATGTTTAAAAAATAAGTATTAACAATATACAAAAAATGTGTTTTGTTACAACACAAAAACTGAACTCGTCGAGTATCGTTATTTTAAATAAGTTACAATTAAGAAAAAATGTTATCTTGCTGAAAGATGAGATTAGTTACAATAGATAGTTTTTGAACCATTTAATGTTTTTTTGCCTTGGAATCTAATAATAATCACAAACGAACACCTACCAACCATTATTAACCAATTTGCTTACAAATCATCATTTTATCTAGATGCCTATTTGAAATACATATCTTTTCACTTTTACATTTCTTATTCAAATTTTAATATTTCGGCCGATGTGTAGCAATCTAACCGAAATTCGAAAATAAGGCTTGTGTTATGCTAGGGTAACGGATAGAATACATAAAAGTATATTTATATAGAAATACATATTAAACATCCATGGCTGGAGTACAAATGCTGCCCCCACCGGCTCTCGACTCTTAAATTAAATTAGAGGCAATATTTTTCTAATTATTACACTAATTTGTCACTATTTACGCAGTATTTAATGACATAACGAAAAACCGTATATTGATCGTGTGTACGCTAGCATCATGGACAAGCCCTTTTGTTATCAAGAAAAGGAAAACAATACAGTTCAGCCGTACGGACTCGGCAGCGGACTCGCCGTTTTGCTCGCGCTGCATTGAAGCGTACAGTTCTGTCTCGCTCTCTCGATTGAATGTATTATTATTATATACATGCGTGTGAGAGTTGCATATGTAGTTGAGTCGGATCATATTTTATTTCTAGTATGAGCGTATCCTCCCTTTTGTTTTAATCTAAGCATTTAATACTTAATTGTCTGCATGCAATGGATGACATGTCTTTAAGCCGTCTACAGAGCGTAGCAAAACAGCTTCTTTGTACTGCTCAGGATCCCCCTTTATCATTAAAACTGGGGGCCATCCGCCTAACGGAAATTCTTTGGAAAACGCTAACGCTTATGATTTCATTTTGTTATTTCTAGCCGCCTGATGTTTTCAAATGCCTCGCGCTCTTTTTTTTTTCTTTTGCATTCGTAATAACAATATTAAAGAAAATGAGGGTGCATTGCGATTAAAGCAGGTAAGGTAAGTGCGCCTAAAAAGGGCCGGTTCCAAATAAGGTCCATCTTTTCAAACTTCCCGCACTTAATATTTAAACCAAAACTGATTTTGCACAGCGCCTCCCCAGTAACCAATCATAAAAGCGCACCGACGTTCATTGCCTCCGCGCCGGCCATTTTGGCAGTGGCTCTGTGTGTAACCTCAGGTGCAGTCGACGTGACTGAACGAATAAAATATTCTGATCCAATTTTGCTTTGTTTCAGTAATAAAACTCGGTGGTATGGAATAATTTTGCAATAGTAATGTTAAAATACTTTCAGAACGTGGATTGACGGGATAAGTTACTAAAATTATTGCTTATTTATCTAAATTTTGTTTCATTTTCTCAGGACACATGTGATTGCCTAAGAAGGTCCAAGTTGTTGTCTACAAATAAGGGCCGGCCCTTATTGGTTTACGATATTTTAAAATAGGCATGATCAGTTACATAAATTACTTATATGAGTATAAATAAGCAGCCTGGCCTAGCAAGTGGCATTTATATACGTTTATTTTGATTACTGAATAGAAAATATATTTAATAAGGATAAGTATATACACACTGAACCTTTAAGTTCAGTGGTTACCGTGTTACCTGTTAGAAACACTTAATAAGGTCCACACTATGATTAAATAAGTGTTATACCTAATAAGTTCCCAAGATTAAGACTGAAAAAATAACTCATTAGTAACATTTAGTGATTGTCTTTCGTAAAATTAATAAAAATTTGCACAAACCTTCAATTTTTTTCATTTATACCTAGAAAATATATAAGTTACAACTTATATATATTTCGTATGACTTTATAAGGGCCACAATACTAAATTATATGAATTACCGTTTTAATATTGGAAAGCCATGAAGTTGAAAGTAGTTTAAAGTCGTTGCTATCTAAAGATTTATTTTTTCTGATACTCAACGTCTGAAATCTTGCAGTTCAATCATGGACCTTAATTCGAGCCCTAGTACACAATAAGGACCATAAACAAGCTTTTAAAAAACTTTTTTTGTCATTCGTGTGTCGTTTTTGTGCAACGTTTTCTTTTCAAATAAAAACAGTTTGGTTGATCATGACGTCGTACTAATTATCACACTTCCAAACATTGATTTATTTAGATTTCCAAAAACCCGGCCCTTATTAGACGCAATTACCTTATAAGCTCGCAGACTAGATCGTAGATGTGACACTCCTTTAAGTGTATGAATTTTGTGCTAGGTACGTAGTAAAATTTTGTCAAGGTTAAGTATGTCTACAATTTTATTACAATCCTATTGACCCTAGGTCCAAAGAGCCCTTTATTCGCAATCGCCCCGAGTACATTGCCACCGGAGATAAATGGGAATTAATTTGCAAACCTCGCGGGAGCCTTTGGGCCTATGGTCAAATACACCCTGAATAAAAAAAAGTCATGTTTGTAATTGTAGCCCCACGCGGTGATTGCCACCAGAGCAACGACTTCATTCTTATTTGCCTTGTTCGTTCACCATAGAATATAAAATTAAAATCAAAAATGATATACCCATATCACAAAAATAACATATATTTAATACATTTCATGTTAATACGAAAACAAATTCGTTTTAGTAACTTTGAATAGACTGTTGGACACGATATTACTGACAAATTAACAACGTCAATTATTTCATTGGTCACAAAATTAATAAAAATATTATCTCAACTTATAAATAAAATTATTAATCTTATCGCTGTGAACTTATAATAATGCAATTTAAACGTGTCACAAAATTTTACCCTACTATGGTTTTATAAAAAAGTAAAATGGGAGTTAGGTATATTTTTCATTTCTAGCACAGAAAAATGTCAACCTTTGGCAAGTATTTCTGCAAAACGAATTTAATAGAAGAAAAAAATTAACAGTAGCACAGCACAGTCAGGTCGCAACGGGTCAACTTATCCAATATGTGAAAAATTGTTAAACTGACTTTAGAGCTTTATCTCGCTTGAAAAGGTTTACAATAGATTGTAAAACAATTACACTGTTAAATTTATGTATTGTTGAATATAAATACTGTAGTGTTATATATTGTCAACAATACATACATAAAGTTGTAATGGCGCATTCACGCTGTCGATTTAATCATAATTTTGGCTGCACGGCGAGCCGTTTACCAAATGGCCTCGTGATTTTAGTTCCTTCCTGTGAAGTTGTCGAATCGGCATTTACACGATTGAATTTGGATCGCGCGACTTATATCGATTCTCGTCTTAATACGCCCTTATCACCATTCATCGTTATCGTGGTCAATCAAAGGTAGAGAAACACAAAATACGAATATACACCCGTATAAATTCTCTCCCAACGACACTTCTAATTAAAGCGCATTGAAGACTTAATCTACTATAGGGTGTTGAACTAATCATAAATAGATTTCAAATATCTGTGCTGAAAAGTCGACCCCTCAATATTTCTACTTCAAGTTCAGCAAGGCAAAATAAATTTTTCTATTAATTTTTGAGGGGGGATTCACGCATCAATAAAATTTCGGATTTTTTTTCCTTATAAAATTTTAAGGAAAATATTTAAATACAAGGTAAAAACTTAAGTACCTACTCATCGTTGACTTTTCTTTGTTCCTTCAATGTTAACAATTTTACACGTACTTACTTATGTAATAATAATTACAAAAATATTTATGCACAGAGAGGGAGAGAGAGAGAACAAAATAAGACCCCACACACAAAGGTCAATACTGAAATACTACACTCAAATTCAATTAGATAACTAGTAGGCATTTTTGTTATTCATAATTTATCTGTTAACATTGTGGGAAATAAATTCTTCCATAGCTGCCCTAGATACGCCAGTGTGGACTTTATTCTCTAGTATTGCTGCGCCGGCGTCCTCCCAAGGCCATTGAACTCTCGACGTATACGCACTCACCATATCCACGAGTGCATCGTCAGGTATGTAATATTCACTTCTGTTATCTCTCGTGTTGTGGTAAAACTTGTGTTTTGTCTTTTTGGATATATGTGATACCCAGGGTTCTGAAAATATCGAGCATACGATACAAACGTTAAAGGACATTGTTCTGCGTCCATACATTGTTAGCCTAAGAACCAACAATCATGTAATATTATTTTCTAGATTCGAAATAGCACGTAAATAACTGTAAAAACAAAGATTATTGACGGACACTTCTGAGAACTTAAATTATCAGGAAAACTAAATATTTTTTGAGGTTATGTTTAATATTAAATGAAACATAGGTCAACCTATGAACTTAGTATGAATTGAATTAATATTACAACTAATTAATTACAACTATTAGGAAAAACTTAGGTAGGAATCATGAATAAAATAAAAACTGTAGTTTTGCTTCTTATTTTATGACTATTTTTCACATAATTGTATCATATTGTATTTATTTGTATATCACATGTATATTGTGTAAATATGCAGCGTGAATGTGTATCAGGTGTTCTTGAATAATTTGGCAGTATGATCCTCTCAGGATGTTATGGCACAGGTTCACTAGCACTTGGTAAGAAGGTTTCTGCTCTTTGATAACATCGATGGCATATTAGATAGCCGAAATAGTAATAGTTAAATTAAAGGAAAAACAATCGCAAATAAACACACAACAGGTAATCCGAACGAGAATTCTCCGTTTATAAAAAGTACTCTTTGACGAGAATGCACGAATGCCACAGATTACTACGACTGCAAACTGCCTGCACCACAACCACAGAGTATCAAGTTTATGCCGGCCCTTCACTTGACAACAGTTTGTCCTTGTCATGCTTAATAAGGAATGAAAAGGACAGAATGATGTCATGTTTTTAAATAGCAAATACGAATAGCCAAGTGAAGTGCCCGGCATTAGGAAGAAAGTGTTTTTTGTTTGCAGCGCTGTCATAGATTATACACATAAAATGGTATTTATTGTCTCAGATTATTTATTAACTTTTTAATTTAGCTTACTTAACTGGAAGTGTCCGTCACAATCTAAATACTGATAATTATCGCAAAAAATATACTAAGAATTATCATAAATGCCAAATTGCTGTTGGTTCTTAGGCCAATTTTAACATTGTCCTTTCAAACTTACTCTACAAAATATAAAAAATATAACGCCGCTTTTTAAAAAATCTACAAATCCATTGGAATAATTTTAAATATAATTTTTAGTTGTGTAAAACAAATAATAAATATTCGTAATACAAACATAAAATAATTATGAACATATAATAATTCCTAAATCAATAATAATATTTGCGCTCCAATAAAATATTAAATGTGCGGCACTCAGTAGTACAACCGGTCGATAATGTTCATAGTATAAGTAAGAAAAATTCCTCTTTTTCGTCCTTATTATTGTGATGAGCAACTACGAACTGTAGGCAGTGTGCCTACATTGCGCATGACCCGATACGAATTTGTCTGGTTTTAATAAGAGATGTGTAAGTTGTGATTACATTGGTATTCATAGAGTATCCATATATCTGTTCCTACTCATGGTTATTTTGTTCACAAAAAAATAATGAATTAGCAATGAAACCCCGGTCGTCGCCCGGGATAAGATAAATGAACACGATACATACCTTTAATTTCTTTTAAAAACAATAATGAACCGATCATATAGTACATGCCATTTCTGTTAATTCTATTAGGCGTATCAATGGTGACGGCTCGTTTTATTCGTTTCATAGCTCGACATTCCAAATGATTCATGGCTGATGAAAAGTTTTCCATATTGAACAATCTCTTGCATCTGATTGGTAAGGCCTGAATGTCAAATGGTTTATTAAGAGCAGTGCAAAACAAATCGCACTGAGCTATCCTGAAAAATAGAAAAGCCTTGCTTATAAAGGGATTAATAAAAAAAAACATTTTTTTAGTTGATAACACATATTAACATTCATTATAAAAAAAGAGTAAGACCCCTTTAAAACAAATTAGATAAAACAAGATGTCAAACTAAAGCCTTTAAACGTTCTTTTCTCCTACACAATCAAGAAAAACATATCAACATTCATCAATATTGTCTACACAAAACTTGTTTCACTACACATATTAGTTTGTTTCAACAAAGTTTTTGCTTTTCGGGCCCGATGGAAAACACGAATTGTTTCATATTTTTTTTCTATTTTTTTAGTCAACCACTAGCGGGGGCAGCTTTCCAAACCTACGCTCTGAGTGCAGCTTTTCACTCTGACGTTTCAATTTTGACATAAAATGCATAAAACTTTTGTCAAATTTAACATTTGTTGCACCTGGAACGTACGCCATTAGCAGTGTAATTAAGTAATAACAAATACATACCGCTCAGTTAAAGGTAAATATGAAATATCAACACCACCCAGCATCATGGCATCTATGATATGCAAAGCTTTACAAAATCTTTGTGAAATGCCTTCACCTTTGAACTCCTTTATGACCTAAAAATAAAAAAAATATGTAAATTAAAAGATAATTACTCAAAAAGAAGTAAATAAAATTATTGAATTTAGTTACTCCAAATAATTAAACAATAAATATTACAGAAGGATAGCTCGTCTGATAAATATTATGTCACGGGTTATTACAAAAACTAATTACTTCTGCGTATATTAAAGTTTTTGCTGGTAACGTTAACTTCAAGTCTGCAGCTATTTTCCATATGCTACCTTCTAATTGAAACACTTGTTTTCCTCCACAGCCTGAAATAAGAAATACTTATAAGAAATTATTTTAATACTAAAATATTTTAAAGCCTATAAATGTAGAACAAAAATTTTACCTATAAATATTTTTAGATCTGGGCTATTTTTACCACTGCTCAAGAACATAAAATGCCAATCACAAACATGCTTAAAGGCATTTAGATCCGGCGGTTTCTCTATATACGTGGGATGTTTGTTTAGAGTGTTCGATTTGAAACCATGAGTGCTACTAGAAGGAGTTTTCTTTTTCAGTGAAGACAACATGTTCTGTAGGGTGTCGTCGGGGACTAGACGATCAGGTTGTTTCCTGACTTGGTCAGGCAACTATAAAAAAACATAAGATTAAGATTTGGTACATATGTATTTACTACCTAATTGCACACTGAACTCGAGCCCTTTAAATAAGTATTTTGAATTAAATCGATTATTTATTTTAACAATGTACCTCTTTAAGAGAAAACTCACGAAAAATATCTCGGTCTATATATTGACAGTCAATTAAACTGGAATACCCATTTAGAACAAATAAAAAATAAATTAATATCATTACGCGGATCGCTTCGTAATATTACTAAATGCATACCCCGTACCCTAAGGTACACAATTTACAATAGTCTTGTCAAACCACACTTATTATATCTGATAGAAATATGGGGAACTGCATCCAAAACTAAACTGGCCAAACTACAACGACAACAAAATAAAATCATTAAGCTACTCTTTAATTATCACTATTTAACGCCAACTAAAACAATTTATACAGAAACTAAATTATTGAACATCGAAAATCTATATAAATATAATATTTGCATTTTTATTAGAAAATATTTTAATAGGACGATCCACACTAACCTTACGTTCTCTAAACAAAAACAAGTTACCGAGCGCAGCAGTCGGCGAGCTAGCTACCTCGTCATACCCAAGCACCGAACCTCGTATGTAGTCTATGATTACTACTAACGGAGCGCGGTTGTACAACAATGTACCCTCACATATAAAAAAATGTTGACTCATTTTATACATTTAAGAAAAAATTAGCTGAATACTTCCAACTCAAAATATAGGTGTAAATAAACTTACTACCTATTGAATGTATAAAATGGTGACATGTACCTACATTCTTTAACCTATGTTATTACTACTTACTACATTACAATGACTACAATTTTTATAATATCTACCTACCTAACATGTACAAAACTTAAATTTGTAAACTTATATCTACATATTTACATATAATTATCACAATTAGGTACTACTACACTAGTTATTCTTACTACTTATTTTATTATTATGTGTACCTACCTACATGTAATATGACGACGACGAACCTCACCTAACTAATGTAAAACCTAACTTTAAATGAAATTGTGTTATCACATAAGTGGCAATGTTTGTCTTTGTGAATAATAAAGATCTTTAAACAAAAAAAAATACTAACTCAAGCGGGGTAGGGTATTGAGTTAAGGCCAGCAAGGTGAGGATGTCGGAGCGGCACACTATAACGTTTTAACGTCACATAAGTTTTGTTTGGTTTAAGAGAGAGATGAAAGGCCTCTGTTTAGGTTTACTCCCTCGTCCTCCCTTATCATAGATCGTATTCGCTAGTCCATGCGTTTTTTTTTTATTTTCTATGGCTTAATTATTATAAAATAAGTTAACTTTCTTTAAGGACTTTTTGGCGGAATCGGGAAGCGTCACTTTAGCAGTTTTGTTTTTCTTGTTAAAATTGTGTTGTGGTGGATGTTAGTGTTTAATAATGGTGAATTATTAACCACTTAGTGTTCGGTAACATGCACAAGTGTTGGTAAGTGAAACAAAATAGCGGAAAGTGTCTTTCGACGTTCCCTCAAGAAGTCCACAGGGAGGTTCCAGTAAATCCCCACACTTTTACTGAAATATAGGGAAAGGGGGATTGACTTGACTGCCACTTACTTTGACTTGATTTATTACTTTGACTACGAGTGCTATAGTATTTGTAAACATTTTAACACTTGACATTGGCTAAATGCACAAGCCGTGCGAAGCCATTTAGAAACAAAACTTTTTTTAAAACATATTATTTTAAAATACTTTCGTAACTTTATGAAACATTATTTATATAATAATAATAATAATTAACTTAGTTATAATAATATTATGAAATAACTTTTGATGTTATTGTAAATTAGATATTTTGGCATTTTGTCATAAACTTACGTCAGTTAAAGTTAATATTAGTTTTGATATCCATTTTAAACAATTTACTTTATAATTTTTTTTAAGCATGTAACTGCTTGATGTTTTAAATCTAAAGAAAATATAACTAGAAAAAAAGGCGGCCTTGCAACTTAAGAATGGTTAGAAGAATTTCGACGCGGTCCGTTAGGGCTGCGGTAGCATAATTGGTCAGTGCATTCGCCCGGATAGCGAAGGGTGCGGGTTCGAGTCCCGTCTGCTGCCTGGTCCGCGTGGAATTTTTCTAGTTATATTTTCTTTAGATTTTAATTTACTTTAGTTACATAACATAACTTAAGATTTAAATATTTTGCACCAAGTGTAAACTTGCTGCAATCTTGCTTTATCTTTTCAACAATTTACTTTCACATTTATTTGAGTTAACTGCGTTTATAATTTCACTGCTATTTTGGCATTTTGCGAGAATGGAAGGTGACAAACTTGCATTGTCTGCTGCTTTGCCGCCTAAAGAGCAACCTGTTTCTGTTGCATCTGATGTTTGTACAAAATATTGTTGGTTATTTCCTTTAGCTTATGCAACGACCAAATCGATGTGTAAGTTCTTAGAAAAAGATAAAGTTCACTTCTAAAAAATTTAAAGATTTTCTTAAAAGTTTTAATAATGATAGAATATTTTTTAATAAATAAAACTAGTTTTTACGGGTTAATGCACGAAACTTTATTTATTTATTGACGTTTCGCAGCCTTTTCAGGTCTGCATCGTCAGAATAATGATTTTTTATTTAAAATTGTCGAGCTACCTTCGAAAGACTTATTTGGTTCGGTTCGAGTTCGGTTATTTCATTGGAAGATTTTTAAAATTTTATTGTCTATGTATGAATTTATTATTTAATTTACTTAATAAAGTATTTTATTTAAAATTCTTGTTTGTAATTTTGAGTTTATTTATTTGACCCTAACTACCGTAAACTACCACCGGTTCCAAAATTGGGAGACCTTCCTGAGAAGAACCGGCGAAACAAACTCAAGAGAGGCTTTCTATCTCCTTCTTATGTTAAATTATGCAAACAAAAAGAACTAATAGTATCTGATGGTCTTGCAGTGTGTGCTCGGGGTTGGGATTTTATCTGGCTGGTGGTATATACCAACCATCTTCCCTATTGAAATTTGGATCGTCGTTATCATGTTAAAGACATTTTGGAAATTCAGATTGCAATAGTTATATTGTTTGCTAAATTATGTTAAACATTAACAAACATTTGAGTTATAGGCTTTTGAAACTTGAGTGATCTAGAGGCTTTGAAATGTTTGATTTTTTGCGTGAAGTATGTTAGGTTGGCCTCGTGCAAGAACAAGATGATGAAAGATAGTGAAATTACTCAAATACATTTGACTTTACTCGTTGAATTTTGGTTTTTAATAAATTCTAGTTTTGGTATTATATTATTTGGCTTTGCAAAGTTTTAGTGTTCGGATAACTTTATAAGAAGTTATTTTCTTTTCATTTTGAGTTTTCGTCTTTTTTGTCGAATCATGAATTTCGTTTTGGCTTTTGGTATTAATTTTTGATCGTAGTTTCTTTAAGCCTCGATTTTCGATGTTTTATTCGGAGAAGGGTGAAATGTAACGTTATAAACGTCACATGAGTTTTGTTTGGTTGAAGTGAGAGATGGAAGGCCTCTGTTTAGGTTGACTCCCTCGTCCTCCTTTATCATATATCGTTTTAGCTAGTCCATGCGTTTTTTTTTCTGTGACTTAACAAGACTTCATTTAGACTGATTTCTTTGCTTGCTTTTTGGAAGGAACAAAAGGAAAAAAAACGTGACTTCATGACGTAATTTTCGAGTGGCGCAATGTTGTTCACTTAATCTTATTTAATAATAAGATAATCCATCGAAATCTAAATCCACCCACTTATATATCGCCGTCCAGGTCGCTTACGTCTACCCATCCACGCACTTACGTCTCGTAGTTCATCCGATCACTTCTGCCCATCCTCCTTATTGCGGCTATCCATCCACCCGCTTACGTCTCGCCGTCCATGTCGCTTATGTCTACCCATCCACGCGCTTACGTCTCGTAGTTCATCCGATCACTTCTGTCCATCCACCTTATTGCAACTATTCATCCTCCTTATTGCGGCTATCCATCCAACCGCTTACGTCTCGCCGTCCATGTCGCTTACGTCTACCCATCCACACGCTTACGTCTCGTAGTTCATCCGATCACTTCTGTCCATCCTCCTTATTGCGGCTATCCATCCACCCGCTTGCGTCTCGTATCGCTTGTATCTCGTGTAATATTCAGAACATCAATAATTATTACAAGTAAAAATAAATTTGTTGTTATATTCAGCGTTTTATTTTCAATATTGTTTTACGTATTATAGTATGAGAGTAGTTAAAGTAGTGTATGACACTGTACATAACTTGGTCTTATAACACTCGTGTGATACTATAAAAAAACTCGCCTACGGCTCGGTGTTTTAAAACACACTCATGTTATAAGAACCCTTATTATGCAACAGTATCATAAACTACTATTAACCTCTGGCACCTACATATTTGGTTCTGTGAATTATGTAAGTAAAACAAATTATGAGACAAGGATATGCACTGTATTTGTGTATATCACAATCTTAGAGTTGCATACAGCCACTGCCAATTTTAGATAGTCGACGAATAAAAGCAAATGATTTTTTTATTTACTACTAAAAAGAACATAAGCAAAAGATGACTTTTTGAATAAATACGGAATATAAGTACTAGTTAAGTATATAATTTACATTCATTAGATATACGGATAAGGAATTGATTTAACTTTACACATTTTTGCGAAAATTGAGACCCATAAGGCCTTGACCCTGATGGTAAGGTGTCGTTTAGACCACCGCAAGGTACTTAATAATCCGCTTGATGTTAACTCCCTTATTGAAGTGACAAGACTGCAATATATACCGTCTTATAATCCTAACTAAAAAGTGTAAAATAAAAAAGGTAAATTTAAAATATTTGAAGTAATATCTAAACAGTCGGGTTTTTGATTTTTTAAATTTACCTTTTTTATTTATATTCGTACCTAACATTCAAGTTTTCTCACTTTAATAGGCTATTCCTGATTTTATGTTTGATATTTACTTACATGCCACAGCTTCAAACATTGCTCCCTCATGCTTGCTTGGCTGGCTTCCTTTAGACTCTTATCTTTGCTAAAAGCAGCAATTTTCAACAAATTTTTTATTTGTCTTTCTCCTAATCTGATAAAAAAACATGGAATTTAAATTTAAACGAAGGCAATTTTTAATTCAATATTCCTTTTGAAACAAGTATATACATACACACAGTTGCTCGTGAATATATAATCGAAGAAATTTCTATCCTCCTGAATAACATTCATGGGAACTAGTTCTGTGACGTCATTGTCGCCGTCGCGTGCGTCGTTCAGGATACAGTTCACGTTGTACAGATGCTGCTCGGCGGATTCAGTGCCCAGTTTCTTCCACTTGCATATCAAATATCGCTCGGAGTTAGCAGGCCTCGATGTTACGGGTTTATGAATACATACTAGAAAGAAAAAACTCCATTTTATTATTGCAATACTTCTTTTGTGTGTTAGCCCAATCCACTACTCCACGGGGTAGGGGATCGGGTCAGGGTAGACAAAGTCGCGAGTGATATTTTTCGCAAGCGTTTATAGGCTATGGTGGCAATACCATCAAGCGGGTCATATGCTTTTTGCCACCCTTTTAACATAAAAAATGATGTCCACGGCAAGAGCAAGGGATTTTAAGTCCACACCCTCCTTTTGGGTGAACACTTCCTTTGGCTGTCGACAGAATTCAGATGGATTTCGAGCGTTGTTCGCGGCTGCTAAGTTAAATCTTATCTATCCTAATTATTATAAAAACATTTTAGAAAAATGGTGGTTAAATATATACATACCATGATCAAAACATTTGTACATAATGTAAATCAAACCCACGCTGAATAGAGTGAATACATCAAACAATTTCACAACAAAATGGCCGCCAGTTCTAACAAGCATTAGTGCAGCTAAACATTGGCACAGATACAATTGCTTTGAAAGTATCTCCTGGATATTTTCTTGGCCTTCAACAGAAAAACCCTGCCAACAAGAAATTTACAATAGAACTAGAGACTTGATGATATTCTAACAAGCCATGGTTCATAAGTATAACATTAAAAAAGATTGATAAAAATATATGCTTTAGGTTATAAAAGCACATTATATAGCATTTCAATCGCAAATAAAAATAATACTACAGCAAGTATCTTTTCTTTTAGATATAGAGGTGATTACAGAATGATGTGGTAAAAAATACCAGTCTGTATCAACCGAACTAACACTAAATGTTGTGTTAATTTGTGGCTGAAATGGATATGCATTACTAATTAAGGCTTATTTAATTTATTGATATTGTTCATCACTGCCATCATATTATTCAAGTTCAATACTTACACCATCCGCCATGAGGAAATGAACTCCTTTATCATTTGTCTGCTTTATGACATAATCCTTAAGAGATGTTAGATTTTCTGGATCAAATATATTGCCATCGCCTTTCTTACCGTAGTACGCGTCAAAAGTTTCCGGTGGCCCAGCATAAAAGTCATGTAGCTTAAAATCACATTGACCTATCAAAGTAAATCCGAAACCTGAAATTTGAATGATACGCCAATACTTGAATGAACTTATTACGAAATGAATTTAAATGGATTTGTATTTTTTTTTAACTACAAGATAAAAAAATCTCACTACAGTCTCCCGCCGCATCTATCAATCTTTATCCAGATATCTGAGGCCAGTAATTACTGGCCGTAGTCAAATATATATTTATAATTCAAAGCACTTTGTACCTTTAGCTCGCCAGCCTTTTTTATATAAAACATATTCAGAGAAACCTCCAGGACCGGCGCAAACGTCAGCAAAATACAATATCTCTTTGTCGTTTACTGCAGGCTTCCCATCTTGGGTTTTAGGATTGGTAAACATGAAATCAAATACAGAATCGATATTGGCCATTTTCACTGCAGCTCTGTTAAGGAATATTACAGAACCAATTGTTTCATATGGATTGCTACGGAAACGAGCATGCCGTAGGTCTTCGTCATCCAAGGTATCGAAGATAGTCTGCAACAATTATAACTTATACTATAGAAAAGTTTAATATTATCATAAAATTAAGGTGTTCATAATGTTAGTATATAATTTACTCTCCTACTATAACATAAGTATTTTTAGGAAGGGGGAAAGTAAAATACACCAAAATAATAATAGTATATCTCAACAACTTCCCTCAAAAAATATCGAAATACAAACAAATATTTATACCAGGCCACTCAGAAAGTTTTGCAAAAAAGTTTTTATGTATAAGACACTCCCCCACTTTTAGCTATTTTGAAAACTTCGATTATTTAAAAGTAACAATACTACTGTTCAATTTTCAAATTTCCCTCCGTATTTTTACGAGAGCCAATTAAATTTTTCTTGTCTCATTAAAAAATAGATCTGCATCGAGAACATTTTCATGCTATGATTTTTAACGATTTTAAATTAGGCTTAAAACCTGATGAGTCATTTGATCGATTTCGAACTGCTTTTATAGTTGAAGGACCTTCAAAAGCAAACATCTACCGCCGGTGTAGCGAGTTCAAACGCGGTTGTCTTAATTTGGGGGATGAACAAAGGAGTGGTCGTCCTACAAGGGCTGTCACTGAAAAAACTGCTGGCAGTAAAAAAATTAATTCAAGAAAACAGAGGAATTACGCACAAAGAGATTCAGCATACTCTGCTTATTGGTTCAGGAAGTGTTCACAAGATTTTGCACTAGCACCTTTGCGTAAGGAGGATAGTTTCCCGCTGGGTACCGCACAACCTCACCGAAGCTCAGAAGCAGACCCGTGTGGATTGGTGCAGTGATTTGATGCAAGCTCGCAACGGCGCGTTTCCGATATTGTGACAGGTAACGAATCCTGCCCCTCTAGCATGACCACCGAAACGGGATATGATAAAGCGATATATCGGCATTAACTGTCAGACTACTATGGAGTTTGACAGTAGTCTGACAGTTAATGTCGATATATCGCTTTATCATATCCCGTTTCGGTGGTCATGCTAGAGGGGCTGGATTTATCAATACGATCCAGAAACAAAGCGTTAGCGACAGTTTGGCAGTTTCAAAAGTAACCAACGCCTACGAAAGTGAAGCGATCGAGGAACGCAGGGAAATTTTCGATCGCTAATTTCTTCACTTTCACCCCTGTCAAAACTATATTACAATTCCACTTCGAGACCAAATATGCCTGCCAAAAGTTTTTCTGCAAGGAGCAACAAGCGATCTAACACCGGGCTCCGCGGGGTCCTTCTTCACCACGACAACGCGCCCGCGCACTCTGCGATCAAAACGAAAGACTACCTGGACTTGTCAGAGCAAGCCAGAGTTTTGAGACACCCTCCTTACACCTGATTTGGCTCCGTGTGACTTCTTTTTTATTCCCTAAAATAAAACATCAGCTCAAAGGGATACAGTTTGATCACCGGAAGAATTTTTGATCACCGGAGGGCCGTGGAAGAGGTGTCTGCAGAGGACTGGATTTTTTTTTGAAAATTTGTTCAGTCGCATGAAACTTTATATAGAGGCTGGTGGAGAGTTCTTTGAAAAGATTTGAATATCATCAAATCGACATATTGTATCCTTGCTACCTCTGTTAGCTGCCACAATCGAAAGTTTCTTACAGGAAATTGTTGGGCGTCTCATCAAAATGAAGCTACTCAAAAAAAATTGCTTGATAGTAATCAACTGCAAAAATGTACAAGGGATCTTGGACTAATAGGTATACCATTGGAAATTAAGTAAATAACAAAAATTGACAATAACGTTCCCACTTTCCTTTTTTTCGTTTAATAATAATAAAAAGACATACCTTAGAATCCAACACTCCTTTTAATATATTTGGATCTACAAACGAAGTTTCATCACTTATAGTCAATTTCTTTGGTCCTCTTTGGAGCCATTCATCTAACAAATCTCCAGACAATGTTTCATCTATAACAGATGACAACCAAACCTGCAACCAAAATTAATTACATTAAATTACTAATATTACACTAAGCCCAAACGAATCTGAGTTATCACGAATTTTTGTTAACCTCTAGAAACCAATCTTGTAAAGAATATGAACATTTTTAAGTCCAGATTGAATGAAGTCAATGATCTATTTGCTAATATTATTGTGATAAAGTATTTACGCAGGCTCATTCACGTAACTGAAAGCATGCACAAAAAGAAATGATATTTTTCAATGCAAAACATCTATTTAATCGCATTTGATTGAACTAAAACACTTACGGGTTCTTCTTTTGCTTCAGGCCCAGCTTCGTCAGGTGACCATTTTAAATCTTTGGGAATTGCTCCAAGAACAGAGGGTTTCGATCCCAAACCTCTTCGGCCTTTCTGTGTTGAAGCCTCTACAGGGTCGACGCGCCCATGTTCGAATTTACCTAAGCCCTTGCCAGGTTTATACCCCATGTTACTCATAATTCGTTTTGACTTTTCTGAATACTCTTTGCTAAAAGCTTCGTCCATTCCAGCTTGATTGGAAGGGTTAGACTCTTGATGAAAACTTGGGCGCATAGAGCCTTCCCCATGATCTGAATTAGTCTCCCCAAATGCAGGACGAAAATCATCATAACAATCATTTGGTGATGAACAATTTTCACTTAAACTACTTCTGCTTAGCCGCACATTACTTCCTCCCGCATTGCGTACTGGAGATTCATCTCCGGATTCTTGAGCAGCTTTAAAAATAAAATATCAAAAGTAAATTTTGGAAAAACATAAAAAAAATCTTGGGTATCACGATCGACATCAATGATTGATTCGGTCGATTATATTATATACCTACCATCTCTTGTACAATTATGATATGCAATATTTGTTTAACTTTGAATTAGTGATAATTTGGCAGTTCATGGACATGGTCAACGAGTGTCTGGAACTGACCAGGCTAGTTTCAGTAAAGTTGACTATATGCTCTTTGCAGACTGCTATATGTTTATGCGACCAGAGCTCTGGTTTCCTAGAATAGCGGTGCCGTCATATAATTAATGGTCGGAATATTACCGTCGCAAAAAGACGGCAGTTGCGGTGACGACATGTGGAGAGTTTCACGGCCGTATTAACACACCGTCTGTCATCTGTTTTTAGTTATATACACAATTTCGTCGTCATCGCTGCTCCACATGGAGTTAGAATTCTAGAAAATTGCGCCATTTTGTTTATATATTCGTATAGACAATGTTCTAGTAACGTCATTCACCGCTGCAGGTATGCGGCTGCCATTTGACGGCACCGCTATCCGAGGACAACCGAGCTTTAGCCAAAAGTCTTGGCCGAGTAGTAAGAAAGAACTGCGATAAAATTGAACTTTAAATAAATACAATATAATTTTAAATAAATGCTGGCAATTAATTCATACCTGACCCTTGAGATGTAGTAGAAGAAGCTCCATATGTATCTGCTCGAATACGCTTGGCTGGCACCGCAGACTCGTCGCTACTGGAGTCGTCATCACCAGATGCATCTATGATAACATGTTAACAATACTATGTTGACACTTCATATGGATATTCGTTTTTTCCGAAGAAAAATTGGACAGCAGTATATTCTTATTATGTTCTACAGGACATTATATAAAAACCTTCGGCGGTCAGATACTTATAACAAAATGAAATCGTAAGCGAAAGCCCTAGCAATCCCGTTAGGCGATTGGCCCCCTGATTCATACTTAAAATCCATGGATTGTCGTAATTCATGCAAGTCCCATTTAAAGTAACAAAATTACGGACAAAGCGCCAAGATGAGTTATCTATCGTATTAATTAATTACATTTTATAACTCTCCCCGTGTGTGTACCGTGATCGTGTCGTGTATCTTTCTCTTTGTGTGTGTAATCAAACTCTCTTTCTCTTAAGACATTAAGCCTTGCTGCCACGAAATTAAGTGTTAATTTGAACAAATATGTTAATGTTAGCTGTATAGTTGATGTCTTTAATGTATAAACAACGCCACTCGAACGTTTTTCGATGTACTTAAGTTAGGCGATTGGGTATCTTTTTGTTTTCATACATCAATGTCTACAGGGAATAATAAAAGGAGAGACTGCTCTAAAATTTAGTAAGCAAAATGTAATATAACTGCAAATAAGTGATACTGAAGAAGTTTGGTGTCGCACAATGCAGTAGGACTGCATCGAAGTTGTGATTACAAATACTACATTTCTAATCAAATATTGCTAAATAATATTAACTGAGTGGTTCTTACTCCTTTAATCATGTAGGTACCTTTACTGCATTGACACTGATCCCAAGCTATTTTTATGTAGGGCCAAGAGGGAGTAAGCTGAATAAGATTATTAGGACTGGCCCGGTTCGAGCCCGGGTTTACCTGGTAGATAAGGATAACAAAAAAACCCGGGTTTGATTGGCAAAACAGGATTTGTCGGGTATTTTTAATGAATTTATCTTTATTATTTATTAAGTATCAAACACTTTGCAATAATAAAAGGAATAAAAACACCCTTTAATAAAACATAACGTTAAAGAAGCTTACTTGCTACGTTCTCCTACCATAGACAAGCAATGCAAGTTAAATGGAACGCGCGCACCCATCTCAGAGGGTAAATGTGGAGCAGCGGAGGCGGAGATGTAGCAAAGCTCATCGCGCGCTGAGCGAAAAGGCTTAGTACCATAGAACACATCCATACGCTGCGGCAGATTATACAGAAGACCGAAGAGTATAGTATCTGTCACTAGGCGTTCTTAGACTATGAGAAAGCTTTTGATTCAATTGAGACTTGGGCGGTGTTACAGTCACCCCAAAGGTGCCATGTGGACTAAAGGTATGTCGAAGTGTTAAGTTACCTAAAACAAAAGCGCCTCTATGTTTACCAGACCACTCCTATGCAACTGCAGCGAGGTGTGAGAACGGAAGATGTTTTATCTCCAAAACTGTTCACAGCTGCATTGGAGAATATTTTCAAACTGGAGTGTAAAGAACGAGGCATCATCATCAATGGCGAGTACCTTACATATCTTCGCTTCGCTGATAAAGTAGTAGATATTTATGACCGAGACCTTTTTTTTATTTTATTTTTTAAAGTACAAAAAATCTTTATTTTTGTCTCACATAGAATAACGTAATAGTGAAAAATAAAAGTATACACCCAATTCACAGTATAAGTACCTACTTATAACTCTATGTAAGAGATTGGCTTCTGTGCCAGGAGGACCTGAATGGCAGATAACCAGCATCTCCAGCAACATAACTCATAATAATAATAATAATACATAATCAATTACTATAGATATGTACATTTATATATACAGGAACAACGAACCTTAAACTAAAAAACCTTTGACTCCTGACCAGGTGGATAATATTACCTCTTACTAATAATTTAACAGAAATATTTGTTGTGAATGTGTGTTTATATGGTGTACTCGTATTTAATAACATTCTCAGTTATTTATGTAGGAACAATAAGAAGCTCTTCAGTATCGTCATAGCTAAGACCCTACAGAAAAGCGGTAGTAGCCTCTTTACATTTCAACTTTGTCAATGGGTAAATTTTGACCTTAGATTAATTTTATAATAAAGATTCATTATTTGATTGATTGATTAATTTTATGATAAAGATTCATTAGAAGATATTCCAAATACGCAATTAAAATTATTTTAAGATACATGACAAATAGGCTACAAAGAGTGAAGATTGGGGGATTTATCAGTACCGCTATACCCCATAACTTATGGAGTACCCCAAGGAAGCGTGATAGGACCTACGCTCTTTCTCGCTTTTGACTTGTGTAACTTGCAATTGACCAATTACAAAATTATAAGCTACGCCGACGACACTGCGTTAATTTTTCACAGTGGTTCCTGGCAACAGGCTTATGAATTTGCACAACATGGTTTTGATAGGGTCTATTCCTGGCTCACTGATAACGCTCTAACACTTAATGTTGAAAAAACTAAATATACTCTCGTTATCCTAAATACAGGTTCGTCTGTACATGAACCACCACTATATAGTAGCACACTTTTGTCCAACTGGTCAGGTGTGTCCATGTACTCCAATTACTCGAACATCTAACATTAAATACTTAGTCATAATTGACAAAAAAAAAAGTTTTGACAACCACATCGATCTGCTGTCAGCCAGGACCCGTAAATTAATTTTTATTTTTAGTTTTTACCTAAGACATATTGCCGAAAAAAAATACATCAAAATGGTGTATTTAGCCAATCGATAATTATTGTATCACTGTAGGGGGTGGTGTATCAGAAACAAAAGTCTTAAAGATCGAAAGAGCCCATAGAGCTAATTTAAAGGTATATGTATAACGTTTTGCCATATCGTTTTCCTATCAAAGAGCTATATTGTTTGTTCGATGTCCTTACTGTGAGGCAGCTCTTTGTCCTTATAGACCAGGGTCGATAATTTTAAAAATGGTGAAAAGTGAAAAAAAAATATAGTAGGATGAAACCCATTAGAAAAGGTAGAGAATATAACAAAAATGAAAGGAAAAATAAATTACGGGCGATCTGAGGTCGGGAAGGGGGAGGGGGTGAGTTTTTAAGGGTAAAAAATGGTTAATCTCGATTTCCGGTAAAACTGCAAGTCCTATGAAAAAAAGTTAAATGGCAAAGTTGTAGGTAATAAAAAGATCTACAACTTTTGTATCGACACTTTTTTCACATAACTCAAAATTTATGTGAAAAATGCGAATAACCGAGTTTTTGGTTTTTGATTTTTATTTTTTGCAAAAAAAAATATTTTTTCACGAAATTTGGTGAAAACTTACCTTTGTATGTCCCAAACATACAGTAATTTTTTTGATTTAAAATATTCATTTTTTGATCTTATTTTGACTTAATATCGAAAAAGCACCCTAATTTTCAATCGAAAATTCTCACGTCAAAATATCTGCTTTTTTAAAAAAGTTGGGGTGTTTTTTGTTTGTTGAAATCTCTACTTTCTGATGGTATAAAAAAATACACTACTATGATAAATGTTCTCAGAAAATGCAAATTAATAATGAAAAAAACTCGAATGCGAAAATCCTATGTTTTATGGATTTGTAATTTTTCTGTTTATCAATATAACATGAAATCTTACGTTTTTCGAGTAATTAAAGTGTAAATTTTAATAAATAGTTCAAAATTATACATAATGATTCAAATCAATTTTTCGGATTGGAGTTTTTTTCATTATTAATTTGCAGTTTCTGAGAACATTTACCATAGTAGTGTATATTTTTTTTATACCATCAGAAAGTAGAGATTTCAACAAACAAAAAACACCCCAACTTTTTTAAAAAAGCAGATATTTTGACGTGAGAATTTTCGATTGAAAAAAAGTGTGCTTTTTCGATATTAAGTCAAAATAAGGTGAAAAAATGAATATTTTAAATCAAAAAAATTACTGTATGTTTGGGACATACAAAGGTAAGTTTTCACCAAATTTCGGGAAAAAATTTTTTTTTTTGCAAAAAATAAAAATCAAAAACCAAAAACTCGGTTATTCGCATTTTTCACATAAATTTTGAGGTTATGTGAAAAAAGTGTCGATACAAAAATTGTAGATCTTTTTATTACCTACAACTTTGCCATTTAACTTTTTTTCATAGGACTTGCAATTTTACCGGAATTCGAGATTAACCATTTTTTACCCTTAAAAACTCACCCCCTCTCCCTTCCCGACCTCAGATCGCCCGTAATTTATTTTTCCTTTCATTTTTGCTATATTCTCTACCTTTTCTAATGGGTTTCATCCTACTATAATTTTTTTTGGTCTCAAAAATTATCGACCCTGGGGGCCAATCGCCTAACTGGATTGCTTTGGAAAACGCTATCGCTTACGATTTCATTTTGTTATTTCTAGCCCCCTGAGGTTTTCAAATGCCTCGCGCTCTTTTTTTTCTTTTGCATTGGTAATAACAATGTTAAAGAAAATGAGCGTGAGGTATTTCGGCGGTTAGAAATAACAAAATGAAATCGTAAGCGATAGCGTTTTCCAAAACAATCCAGTTAGGCGATTGGCCCCCTGGTCTATTAGTACTATTTTAAAACAACACACAAACCGAATTTGATCCTCTCTCAACTCATCAAAGCGACTGAAGCACAAAGTTTGCATATCTCAATATGTGTGGCACTAAATTTTTGAATAGATTTTTTGGTTTTCTTGGTATTCTAATTTATTTTTAAATGTAAACTTAGCGAGCAACTAATTAGCAACAAGATATTCTGCAGTTATATACATCTACGGGCGTATTCTGACCGTTTTTTTTATTGTAAAGAGAAATATGCCGCGTCTATTTTCCACCTACGAGAATTTTCCAATATCGTCCTATTCTGGGGTGGTTGCAGTGCTGATCTGGAGTTAAGGGTTAATAATTAAATACTATAAGCATCTATTTTGCAGCAACTAATTAGCAACAAAATACGCCATAGTTTATATTCTCTCATGACCTCTTTTTCACATTATCGTATTTAGAGGGTAGTGCGGGTGCTGGTGCGGCAATTAGGGGATGATGGGGGATATTACAAATAATGCTGTCCTATAGCAACTAATTAGCAACTAAATATGCCGTTTGTAGAACTTCGGTATCTTTACGAGAACCGAAGATACAGTATTGTGGTCTGCTAGGTTAAGACTTAATCTAGCAGACCGCTTGCATCTTTTACAGGTATTGAGCAACTAAATCGGGAATAGTGTAACTAATTAGCAACTTAATACCAGTAGGTTAGATGTGCGCTTTGCGACCATGGTCTGCTAAATTATTATACGTCATATAAACGCGCCCTTAGTCTGTCGCCTCTTAATTCCTTTATTTCATACTCTCCTTTTTCTACTTTTCCTAATAATTTCAGTAAGGATATTTTTGACGCCGTCAATAAACAGTGGAGGGGGTCGTATTGGTTTCTGTGTTTGTATTTCAGGTTTATCTGTTTCCTCTGTGTCGTCGAGCCCTGAGAAGCTGTTGCATGTTGGTACTGCTGAAGCTGCAAGCCAGTAATTTAATTTTGGTTGCTTTTGGCTACGCGTTACTGCATATTGTACTTCTGTGAACTGCTGTTCTTCGGAGTCTTTATCTGTTTTATCTTCTAGCTCAATGTTCTCTTGGTCTTGGTTAGTTGTTCCGCTAAAAGAACTTGATCGTGGCCGGTTTATAAACATTCTATTATGGAATGTTGGGACATCATATCATGGTTTTGGGGTTACTCTTATCTAATTTTAATATATTTTCAAAGGTTTTAGAATTGCTCATTTTGTTCCCACGAGTAGGGCCGATTTAAAACGTCACAAGAGGGCCGCCATGGGCGGTAACGCCCATTCCCTCAAGAAGGCAATTTACTACGACGTTTGCCGGGACCGTCGAGGTTGGCGCTTGGAACTTGCCTCCTGCAAGCCATGCATCCCGCATCCCGTCGGCACGTACTCCCACCTTGGGATTAGGGTGACTTTTTAAAGAGGTATTCTACCTCTTGGTCCGGGCGGTTAAGCCAAGGCCCTCGATTCTGTGTGTGTTTGAGTATTAGTGATGTAACGAATGTAATTTTTTGAACATTCGCGAATGCGAATGCAGATGCAAATGTCTGGTACCGACATTCGCTAATGCGAATATTTAGTTTTTTTTTTAAATTGGCGCCAATTGTCTATGGCATAGTGGCAGTCTCGTTCGAATTGCCGAGTTGATATGAACTCATCCGACTGAAGTGTCATTCCGCTCGCACCGGTCTTTCCGTAAACAAAACAAGTGAATTTTCAGGTTAGTGATTGTGAGTAGTAATCGTGGTAATACTGATTTATTAACACGAGTAAATCGAACTCTAGTGAAACATGGACTTATTTCACGCTTTGCGATGCTGAACGAGCTAAATGCAAACTGTGTAACAATGAATATTCAAGGAAAGGCAGAACTACAACTTCTTCAAATTGTTTTTTTATAATACCTATTCAGTATTCATATTCGCAAAACATTCGCAGAAATTTTGCGAATGCGAATGTGAATGCAAATATTCTAAAATATGCGAATATTCGTTACATCACTATTGAGTATACGCACAGAGTTGAGTTCTGGAGGTAATCTCCTACCCCCAGCGGGTTCCGCCTTGTTAGGCCTGGTTTTTCCTATTAAAGGTGACATACACATGACACTTTCTCAAGGCGACATTGTCACACTTTTAGGAGGGTTTTAGTCCTCCTTGGCTTGTGGTGAACCAGTGGTCAGGTTAATTAACCCCCGCCTGTTGCTCGGCGTTGTTGCTCATTTGGCACCACCCGAGGGGCACGTGTAGGGTGGGCCTAGGAGAAGGTGGTATCTGGTGGTGTATCGTAAATAGCAGTCAAATTTAATTTTTCCATATCAATTTCCAATTAATTATAGTTGATTTTCTTAGTTTTAGATTAAATAGATTTTGTATTCTAAAATGAATATAAGAGAGTCAGGATCCTTCATTGATGTCTCTGCTTCATAAAAGTAAGCTGGTAGTTGTGTTTTGAGCATGAGATGGTTTAAACTCGTTTCTCCATGCATAGGAAATAAGTATGAGGGTAAAATACCAAAAGAAACTAATAGACCAAGGTTTCCATTCAAGTTAACGTCTTTATTGTATTCCTTTATATCGATTTTAATATCTCCTATTGTAATAATAATATTGGCATAGTTTAAATTAGATAAAAGGTCCCTAAGCGACTACACAACCTGCTCAATGTTATTCCTATACTGTGCAAGCCCTGAGCCATTTTAGTAAAACTTAAGTTGCTTTAGGTTAACAAACGCAACAAGATGCAAGAGGCCAGTTAACTGTGTACGCGATGACTCGCAGTAGGAATGATGACCTTGGAAGATCTGTACCCTTAGCACGAACCAAATTCGAATTCGTAATGTTTGCGAGTCCGAAATGTCATTATCAACTGTGTACTGATTATTAGTTCCCGTTACGTCCAAAGTGGCGCTGCTGTTCGTTTCCACACAAAATTTGACATTGACATTTCGGTTTGCAAACTATTCGAATTCAATAATGGTTTGAGCTTGGGGTACTGAACAATATTCTTGAAGATTTTAGTAGTGCTTTCTGAAGAGTGGGTCTAAAGATGAACATGGATAAGACGAAAATTATGCAGAATGCCCATGTAGTCCACTCCAGTTAAAATTGCGAATACTACACTCAAAGTGGTTGACCACTACATTATTATAACTGTGACAAATAGTCGATTTAGGTAAGTCCAACTTCGAGAAACAGATCTCTCGTCGATTCCAGCTCAGATGAGCAGCAGGAAATAAAATAGCTGTTGCCGAGGTTATTGGTGAATTGGCGATGGAATATTATATTTCGTCCTCCGACCTGACAGCTCAGCTGTGGATTCATTCTGACTGTTTGAAAGCTGTGGTGATCAAGCAGTGGCTCCAATGATATTCCTGCTCGGTATTGAAGAACTGCGTAGCCAAATTGTCCTCCTGTTCTGACACACCTGTTTCGCTTGTCTTTCCAGACTGTAACAGTGCTAACAGCCTAGAAGCAAGCTAACATACAGGGTACAGGCTGTAACCAATAAAGGCAGTCGTGCTCACCCTAACAACCATCGCCCAATTTCGATTACCTCTATCCTCTGTAAAGTGTAGGAGCATGTTCTAACTAGACACCTGATGGCATTCCTGGAAGGCAATAATCTTCTCAGTGATGGGCAATATGGATTCCGCCTATGCCGTTTTATTGGGGACCTTCTAAGCCACACAACTTTGGAATGAGGCCCTTGAGAGACATGGTGAGGCATTAGCTGTCTCGCTAGACATTTTTAAGGCCTTTAACAAGGATTGGCACAACAACCTCATAGCTGAACTCCCTGGTTATGGAATTCCCCCAGTCTTTGTTCTTGGATATCTGATTTCTTAAGGGAAAGATCTGTTCGAGAAGTCTGCTCAAAAAAAGCCTTTAATAATCTATTTATGGACCATCAACACAGCTATGTTAATACAAACGGACTAACACATATACTTCATTATTAGAATATATTAAAACTGTATTAAAGATTGCCTCATCATGGTCTAAACACGCTTCTAAAAAATTTAACTTTATTACTTTTAGGCAGGGCCGGATTTAAGGCACCACAGGCGGGGCTGTGGCCCAGGGGCCTCCACAACAGAGAAAGAAAAACGAAATTTGACAAGTTACGAACCAGGAGGGGTTCTGCAAATCGTATGGTACCCGGCCCAGATTTGGGGGCCTCCACTCCTTTATTGCCCTGGGGCCCCCACACCTCTAAATCCGGCTCTGCTTTTAGGACAGATTTCGGCCACAATTATTGTTTGTGATGTTGCACCCATCTGTAGTTATTAATATGTCTATGTGAGAGCGCACACAGGAATTTTATTTTGATACACATATTTTCCCAAAATTTACAAATATTATAATGTAAGTCGCGCCAGCGCCGCACCCGCCAGCCGTCCCCTTGGTCCTGGCGCCATGGCCTCTAGCCTTATTAGCCTGTGGGTAAATCAGGCCCTGGCAATTACAATTAACTGTAAACTACCATGGAAGAACATCTTTTAATATAATATTTTATAACTAATATTTGTTTATTATTTACTTATTAACTTGCCATTTCGGACCCTTCACAGTTTTTATATTCACAAGACAAAGAAGCTATAAAGCTTCTTTACCATAAAATTTAGTTATTTAACTAGGCCAGTTAGTTAATCAATTTTTGCCAGATATGTCCTAGTCTATAGTGCATCTGGGGACAGTCTAGAAGGGGTTTCCAAAGTAATTGTCCGGTGTCGGCAATTTGATAATAGCAGCCCTAGTCATAACCTATTTATTTACCAAAAAATTACCTACTTTAATTTTGCTTACCAGACAAATTCATTTTAACTGTTGTAGTAGCAAGCAGGACTACTTATCAGTATTTGTTTTGTTTTACAGCCTCAGTACAAAAACCAGATCCTCCAAAACTAACTGTAGCTGTATGGAAATTCACAGCCAAAATCAAAAAACAATCTGACTTTTAGAAACGTACAAACTAGTGATGTGCCGAATATCCGTATTCGTATCCGCGGATATCCGAGGCAGAAGAAAGGTCCGTATCCGTTTCTTTTTGGGGGATCCTTTACGGATCTATTTACCTTATTAATTTTAAATTTATAGATAAGATTCTTTAAGGTGAAGAGGGTAAGGCACACTAGCGACGCCAATTGCCGAGATTCTGACGTTCCACAATTATGAAATAGATCTGGTTTAGTAGCTAACAATTTAAAGCAATTGGCGTCCCTAGTGCGCCTTACTCTTTGCCTTAAATAGGTGATTAGGTAGCAATAAAAAACTATTAAATTCAATACAGATATTCTTTTATTTCTTAAAATCAAATATTTGGCTCCTTTATGTTGCAAACTTTGCAGTAGTTAGTTATCATACCAATAGTATATAACTACAAGGTACTAAATCAACTAGCTTTTTAATTAGATCAATATTATAAAAAGTTATAAGATCACTTTTTATTAAGAAAACAAAACTTAGATCTTCGTAATATTTTAAATTCGAATTAAATAATGTTTTAATCAAGGTAACTAGTACTGCGTGATACATACAGTGTTAATGATAGATAAAAATCACAATGACAATTAGAGGAACTTAAAAAAATTATAAGTCATAATTGAAATTAGCAGTGGTAAATTATACTTCAAAAAGAGTAACTTGGCAGCTTTGCCCCCCAAAAGTCTTTTACGATGAGGATCATAAACAATTCATGCTGCACTAAAAAATTGCTCACTTGGAATACTTGTTGCAGGTGATGATAAATATGTACGAGCAATGTGACTAAGACCTCCAAACTTTTTACTGTTAATTTGCCAATACTTTAGTTGGTCTTGATCTCTTGGTAATCTTTTTTCTGACATATATTCTTATCTTAACTTAAGATCCGTATCCGTATCCGTATCTGCGGATCTTGACACCAAATATCTGTATTCAGATCCATATCCGCGGATCTACATTTTTGACGATCCGGCACATCACTAGTACAAACGTTATCATCACAAAAACTTTTTTTTTAAGTATTCATGACCGCGGATACAAGACCAAGGATACAAATCTTAAAAATGTATCGAGTTGGCTTTTCCGATACGATAAGCTTCTGTGAGATAGTCAACACTACAATAAAATTCTCACGTCCACTTGCCCGAAATAGCGTATATTTGATGGTAGCCATACACACTACGAGAAATCGTTACGATTAGACTGTACTGTCCGAAGGGTACCGATAAATCATACCGTTGTTCTTCGTCTCGCGCGTCGCCGGCGCCGAAGGCGCCGCGGCGTGCGGGGAGTCCTGTCTGGCGTGAGCCACTGCGGAGGTTGCGGGTTCGCATCCCGCTCCGAACGGGACGGTCGATGGGGTCCACCCCCTACGCGTCTTCACGCGTCGCCCTCGGCGCGGTCAAGCCCACCGGGTGAGACCCATGAGGGAGGCCCAGTGAGCGACCAGCGAGCGGGCGACGGACCTAGCGCGCGGGGGTAGGTGTCGAACTTTTTTTCTCGGCCTGCCCGAACTTTTTAACAAAGTCCGCGAGCAGGTCCGAGAGCTTGAACAGGAGGCGCGTCGTTTCGGCTTGCGTGGGCGTAGGCGGCGGCGTGTCTAGGACCGTGGTGATCGGCTGCACGGTAATATTATCTATACAGTATTGTGACTCCGCCCTGTCCTTGAAAATATATGCCTACAGCCGAGCGCTGCGTTGGCACGTGGTAGGGCCGCCCGCCTACACTATTTTATGTAGTTTTGTTTTTAACGCGAGTGTAGGTAGATTACTCGTTTGTCTCTTTTTTCATCCTAACCACTTATTTATATACTATTCCAGATATTTTGCCCGATGGAAAAACCGAAATACCTAAATATTAGAAACAAATTACGTATAGTAGATAGGTATATAAAAAAAAATCTATAAAGGTAAGACACCTTTCCAATATTTCAGGTAATTTAAAAAATGATATCTCTGGGTGTGTTATTGAAGAGTTCAAGCAACCAAAAACAGCAATTGTGCTGTTGTACGGTATTGATCGTCGCTTGTTCTTTTCCATACTAAATTATGTAGGTATCTACTTAATTAAATCAAATATTTACAATACAAAACGCACGTTTAAGCACGGCTAACTGCATAAAAAACAATTCAGACCGTTCGGTCGTCGTTGCGGCGCGGCGGCGCATTCGCGACTGGGTGCCCGCCGAGAGCACATCGAACTCGAGTGGCGTAGGTATGACTCGCTTTCCGACCGTTTGTATGAAGATAGAATACTGTATGATATTATTACCGTGTCGGCTGTTCGGATGTCTGGGCGGCGATGTCCGTGTCCGTCGATGGCGGGCTGCTCTCTCGACGGTTTTTTCTCTTGCTGCGGCGTTTTGTGCGGGTGGTAGGTGAGGGAGGAGCGTTCGCGGGGGCCATAAGGGTGGCCGGCGCGTGCTCGCTCACCTCGTTTCGCTGCGGTGGTGGTTCCGTGTGGGGGCGGCCTGTGCGGGCCACTGTGGTCGCTCGTCTGCTTCGCGCCTCGCGGTGATGTGCGGGGCACGAACTGTGGTTCGCGGGATGCGGGCCCTTGCAGTTAACGCAAGTGGCGGGTTGCGAAAGCGGGCGGGGGCAGTCAGCGGCGGCGTGCGGATCACCGCACCGCACGCAGGCAAGCGGGCGTGGCTGGAGTGGCGGAACCCCTGGCTTGGTGGCACTGCGCGGGGGTCTTCCTTCCTCTCCAGGCTACGATGGAGATTTCAGTCATGCTCAACAGCTCACTTACTGCGAAGATGGCCGGGATTGTGTCTGGGGTTCGGTGGAGTGAGACGAAGTGGATGCATCCGGCGCGGCCTGCTCGCGCCCGGATCTCCCTCACGTACTCAACCGCGAAGCCCTTTGCTGTAAGGGCCTCAGCGATGTCTCGCGGCTGGGTGTTCATAGGTAGCCCTCTCACGGCTACTTTGAGGCTGCGGTCTTCGGGTCGGGCGTGCGCGTACCAGCTCAGCCCGCTTTGTCCCTCCAGATTGGAGAGATAAGCTTGGATGAGCCGGCTCGCGTCTTCGTCCGTTGGTGTAAAGCGTACGCCCGTGCCAAACGGGCGCACGCTGGGTGGTCGTCCGAGTTGTTCGTGCAGCGCGCGCATGTGCTTCGGCCAGTCCTGCAGCTGCTCGACCACTATCGGCGGGAGTTTGCGTACCCGTTGGGATGTGGGAGGCTGGCTGGAGGCCGGATGCGCGGACTGCTCGTCGGTGCGTGGTGCGGCGGTAGGCGAGTTTTTTTTCGCTGCGTGGTGGGTAGGCGCAGAAGTCTCTGCTATCTGCGCATAGCTTACCGACTGCGTCGGTAAAACAGTCGGAGGCGATTCTTGGGCTGCGGGGGCGGCGTGTTGTGGCGTTACCTTTGGTGAGGTCGACTGCTGGGGCACCGGGGGGTCACCACAGCTGCGTGACCGTTGAAGGTGCGGGTCGTGTGGGTGTTGCTTGCGGCTGCGGCGTTTCTCCTCTGGATCGGGCGATGGAGATTGGGGCTTCAAATATACTGCCCTCGGTGGTGGCAGCTGGAGGGGGATCAGGTTGATCGACTTCATGCACTCTATTGTGCACCGGTCGTCAGGCTGGTAGCTGGAGGTAACACTCGCATCTCTCTCCAGGAGACGGAGGTAAACCCACAGCCAGCGTTGCAGCCTGGGGGATAGCAGGCTGCAGTCTGTGAGACGCGCGACCATCGCTGCGTCAAACTCATATTGAGCGCGATGCGATTGGTCCTCGATCGGACAGGCTGCGAAGTAGGCTGTATCGTCGTCCACTGATGGGTCAGGGTACTGCTTCGGGGCGGGCGGCTCGTCCATGCTGCCGATTGGGACTCACGTCAGCGCGATCTTGGCCGAGCGACGCCTTGCGGCGCGCTCAAGGCCTGCGGCTGAGAGGCTCGTGGATGATCCCCGCTGGCACGGTGGCGCCAGGCAGTGCTCTCGGAGTAGTAAAGTTCAACTTTACGGCGGAGCACTTACGTGGGAGGTAGATCCGTGCGCTGTAACAGCGGACGGATCTACCTCCCACGTAAGTCAACAGTTGACGTGGGTACGCTCCGATAAATCGTAGCGTGTATGTTATAAAACTGCACAGTTTCCTATACGTACGCCACGTACGATAAACTGTTCCGTTCGAATTGTACAGTCTGATCGTAACGATTTCTCGTAATGTGAATGGCTACTATCACACAAAATCACACCAATTTTATTTCACAATATCCACTATGAACAAATTTAAGAAAAATTAAAATAGGACGCCAACTGCACTCGATATAATTCTGCCAAAAAAAAACTCTTTTTTTACATTTTAATTATGACACAGACTGATGCAATTTTATGATTTCCCCCAAACTAATTTTTATATTTCCCCAAAAGAAATCGTTGTCTAAGGCGCCGCGGCGCAGCGCCGACATGCTAATTTTAATGGATTTTTGCCTAGTGTTCTAAGCATGACTTGTTTGTAGCAAAGTGTCATCTAGAATAATATTGACATGTAGCCTTCTCTTCATGAACATCACAGATTTCACCTGAATGAGGTTGGGCACGACGGAAACATCTATACTTTGAACGGCATTGGGCTTTAACATGACCAAACTTATAGCAGTTGTTACACTGTATAGTTGGTAGTAGGTAGTTTTCGATAGGAATAGACGTATAAAAAGTGAATACTCTTTTAGGTAGATAATGGCCCCTAAATGTGAGGACCACTGATTGGGATGGAACGCAAAAAGCCTTACCATCAACGATTTGTTTACGGTTCAGACGTCTTGCTTTTAAGACAGTACCATAACCATCTGGGACCTCCAAAGACCCACAAGTTCTTCCATACTTAATTCTGTGGGAATTCCCTTAACGAGACCCATACGGGTTACATTGTAGGTTGGAATCGTAACCACATATTTATTCAGGGTTAAAAGGGGGAATGTTTAAAAATGTGTCGGCATCTTGATATGATAGGAATTCGACAG